CCTTGCATAGTCACATGTGCCACTAAAATTTGCCAAACTCCCTTTCTTCTCAGTGAGTTTAAAAACAATCATTTATCCTTAGTTTACTTCTGACAAGTGATCTGAACCACAGTTTCTTATTAAGTTGTGAAAATATGCTGGATAATTCATGCCTCCTTAGGGAAGGAAGGAAAATTATGATTTTGTCTTCCCCACATGAAAGGATGCTACATTTAGCATATGTTTTAGATTGGGATTAAAAGACAGCACAAGATGCTTCAAATCTATAAAATCACACCTGCCTTCTTTGCCCTGATAAACTCTTGAATAGTTTCCCCACATTCAGCATGGTAGAGATACTGTTGAAATATTATATTGGGCAGAAACAGCAGTCAGCCTGCAATATCCATCTACTTTTATCATAGGCTAGATATGCTATTCTACAGACCACTGATGAGGACCAGCATTCCTGTCTCCACTATTTCCTTAATCAGATATGAGTGTTCCCATTATCTTTCTGGAATATCAAAATATTTAATATTTACTCAAATGAAGATTTAGGCAATTTGAAAGGCTCCCATTTTAATATATCCTATTAAAACTAGACTAAGGAATGATTTACCAAAGAGAAGGCTCAAGCAAGATCTTTCATTTAGTGTCACATTCTTTCCAATTATACATTTCACCAAAGGCAATATCATTTACTGGATATATATTACTCTTTTTTTTCCCTATCTACGATTTTTAATATGACCATACCCACGACCACAGTTAGTTGCTTTGCCTCCATACCTGTCCCATCAGCTTCTCTTTTTCTCCTCAGGTTACAGTCTTTTTCCCCAGCAGAATCACCATATGTTTTATGATGTAACCAGTAATTCCAATACGCTGTATTTAGTACTACTTGCCATTGAACTTTAACCACGGTATAACTTTGGAGTCCATTCAGATTGGGCAAAGTGATCTTGGCCTTTCAGTTTTCTTTCTTTCAGCTGCCTTAACTCCATGGAGTAAATTTAGCAACCAGTGTCAGTGCCTTTTTATTTCTTTTTTTTCCCCCATTCCCCACTGGCATCACTGGACTCAACTCCTGAGATGAAAGGAACAGATCTAACAGGGATCCTTAGTGGACGCAGCTGCTGAAACTGGAATAGATTTCCAACTTCTCAGCTGGTGATAAAAATGCCAGGAAATCATTCAGAGGAATCCTGTCCATTTTTGTTGTATTCTTCTTGTGTCTTAACCACCTAAAAAGAACTAATAGATTAGCCTCTGGCCATGATTTTTCTTCTGAATGGTACAGATTTCTTCCCATAGGTGAAACCCAGCATGGCTAGTACAAGAGTTAATATGCCTATGAATCTATATGTCCTCTTTCTATCCTAAAGAACAACCACATACCAAAGGAACTCTGTTACCATAGTTTGTCTACCAGAATTTAGGTGAGAGGCTATGATATGGGTAGGCTCATTTCTAGTTATTATATGGCCAGCCCAGATTTGCTACTGAACTTAACTATCTACTCTTCTATAGAGATGTCACAGTATTGAGAGAACCAGTTTCCCTTTTTTGCACAGATCCATATCACCACAGGTTTCACTCACTCAAAAGGGATCTTTGATATTATATCCAACAGTGATTCTTAAATTAGAACAGTGAAGCAAGTTGGGGGTACCATTTATGCTAAACATTGCCTTTTGTGCTACAGTATACATAAATATATTATTAGTTTTTGGGTCAATCAATCAATCTAAAGATTCAGGAATCATGGATTGCACAGAGATCTTCTAGCACTTCTCAGCAAGGTAACCCAGCTGCTTTGTGCTATAATTGCTTTGTCCAATTTGTTAACTATTAAGCACCAAAAATGTAGTATCTTAATCAAAATATGCTGTAATTATAAAATACACACTAGATTTCAAGAACTTAATATGAAATCGTCAATGTAAAACTTCTCAATTTTTATTTTGAACAAATGTTAAAATAATATGTTGGCCATAACAAGTTAAAATTTTAAAATTAAAATTAATTTTATCTGCTTCTTACATTATGTGTTAAATGTAATTAAAGTAAAATTCAAAATTTTACATGCATTTCATTTGTAGCTCACATTATACATTTATGGTACAGAGCTGCACTATAGATACTAGTTTCTAGTGCCACTTGCCTGGGGTTGCAGAAAGACAACATAAAGATTAAATGTAATGTCATTTTGAGTCCCAACTTGGCTTTTGTTTACACCTTGAACACAAGTAATGAATCTGCTTGCTGTGCTTACTGTTTTCTGTGGCCTCGTTTTCACAAGGATGATTAATTAATTGGGAATAAGGAATTAATTGTATCTTGAATAACTTTATCCTCAATTTTATCTCAGTGGTCATTCATCTGACCCTTCCACAAGGGATAAATCTATGCCATCAATATTCCAGTAGTATGATTTATCCCTAATTACTTTCTATAGAAATTTTGCTACCTCAAACCCAGCATAGATCAGCATCAGATTCTCCTCAGAATCATGCCCCAAACTTTTGTCCATATTAATTTTAAAAGGATCCCAAAGCCTGGCCAGATTTTGTTTCCACAGCTGAGATTTTGGGGTTTCAAATTGTCACTCAGACTCTTCAGACAACAATGGGCTTTAAGTTAATATTACATTTACTAAGCCTCATAGCAGGATGTGATGCAAGGAACACATCAGGTCTACAGTATTTTTATCACATGGGAGACACAGCTATTTCTCAAGATCACAGCTTCTTTTGTCCCCCTTACCCACAAAGGACCATTGGTATAAAAGTCAGGGGCTATATCTATTATATGTAGCTCCCTCAGGGCAGGTGAGTCTCTCCAACTGAATGAAGCTGTCTTTTCTCCATTTAGCTTAATTCCACTGTTTTCAAGGAAAAGATGCCAAAGAAATTAGGGATCATTCTTAGGAGTCTTGTAACAGCTTAGGCCTGATGTTAACCCATTACACACAGTCAGTTATGTAGAAAGACACAATTGAGAAAAATTTAGTTGTTCATTGAGTACTAATTTTAAATGGATTTTGACTGCTTTTGGGGGGGGGTGCAGGAGCAGTCTGTAAAGGTTTTAAAGTTCTCCATAACAGATAGTTAAAAAGGTGATTAATGGATTCTACTTTGTTAAACACATAAGGTTATGCTAAAATCTTAACATTGTAGTAATGAATTTCCTGTTTCAACTAGTATGCCAACATACATACATAAATGCCTACTGAGAAAGTTATTTTGGTCTAATTTTAAGATGAGTTTTTTTAATACATCAGTTAATGTAGTTTAAAAGGCCATATTAAACTTTAACACTGAGCTAATCTGCACACAAAATAATATAACTTAACCAGGTGACCTATGTTTTCCTTCTGGAATGCAAACGTCAGCATAATTTACTAAATTGTAAGGGGGCTATTTAGCACTTACATAAGAACTGTTTTGATACCTACTATATATACTTTTAATCAAGATATAGAAAATTTCAAAGGAAGTAGATTTGTCTTAAAATTTTTATGGAAGCCAAAAGAAAAGAAAAACAAATAATAGTAAATGAGGATGCTTCCACTAATTTCCAATTTTTATCAAGATTACAATAGATCCCTTGGATTGGCAGATTTATTTTCAGGTAATATAAACTGTCAGCTTTTATTTCATCCTTGTTTCCTCAAATTTTAATTGCTTATTCAAAATACAACTGAAATGTTTTACAATAATTACTTGCTTTTGTTTTTCAGGTGGAATTCAGTTTCATAATTCCTAAAAACAAATTTATGCATCAATGAATCAACTTTAGTCATTTTCTCATTTTTAGAATCCATAATAATTTCTATTATTCATTTATAAATTTTAAAATATACTCTTTATTGAGCAACTACATTCACAGACCTGAAGTAATTTTCAAGAGTTTGAGCCTATTTAATTATTTTTATATCTTATATTACCAAGCAAAAGCACTATCATAGCAGACATATAACCTTATAAAACATATTGGTACATTTTAAATTTTTAATTTTAGTAGCATAAATGAATTTTCCTTATTAATGAATTTAATTATTAAACACCATATTTCTCTATCAGGAGCACATTTATGATAATATATTTATTAAATTTTTTTCATTAAATTTTGAGAATGTTTTTCTTTTCTTTTTTTGTGGTACTGGGGATTGAACCCAGGGCCTTGTGCTTGCAGGGCAAGCACTCTACCAACTGAGCTATATCCCCAGCCCAGTGTTTTTCATTTTTATATATGAAAATTCTCTTCAATTTGCCATATTTAAAAATAATGAGACCTTTTAGAAGAACATAATTTTTTAAATTTATAACAAGTTGATTTCTTGAAAATAAAATAAACTGCCTAATATCATTCATAATTTGGGCCAAACTACTATACCTGAAAAACAACTATATATAAAGTAGAATATATGACTATCTTAAGTTTGTTCAAAAAAAAGTGAGTGTAAAACATAGAAGTACTATAAAGGAAGGATAACAGTAAGCAACCAAGTGTTATTATGTGTTTCTTTGTATTTTCCAAGGAAGTAACTCATATTTGTGTGAAACAACCATTAAAAGGTGTCTCCATGAGAAAGAAAAATTCAGTCAGTGATCTTGGTATTTTTACCATCTCATATCACATATTTGTATACTTAGACACATCATATTAAAAAGTCTAGTATATGAGAGTATATATTATACAGTGCTTCAATAGCTTTATTTCTTGATCTCTTGGTTAGATATTCTAGTAATATATAGAAAATATCAAAATTTTAGTTTTTCATTAAAACATTTTTTGAGAGTTTTACATTTATTAAAGGGCACATCTGGATGATGCATCAGGATAAATAAAACTTCAAAGGGAGAATAAGTCACTCATTTTTATATGTTTTAGTTATCTTTTTCTTCATATTAGTGCAAAAATCTATGATGATAAAATTTGTCATAATTGTGAAATGCCTACCATACATGCCCTATTCCATTAACAAAAAGTTTTCTTGCATTTTTCTTTGACAGGAAGATGAGGTAAGGGAAAGCCGATTCAGCTTCACAGCATATGGAATGGGACCATGTCTGCAAGCAAAAGATGGTGTAACTCCAAAGGGCCCAAACCATCCTGTACAGGTAATGCCAAAAAATCCTGATGAAATGAGGAAGGTCTTTATTGATCGGGCCAAGAAGATTGACACCATCTCCCGAGCCTGCTTCCCATTAGCTTTCTTGATTTTTAACATTTTCTACTGGGTTATCTATAAAATCCTTAGGCATGAGGATATTCATCAGCAACAAGATTAAGTCCCTGATGGCATACAAACACAAACATTAAATTCAGAAGAAAATTTTCTTGCCATAGCTGTATGTATGTGTGCATATGTACATGTGCGCTGTGTCCAAATGATAGCCATTATATTAAAACAGTAAGAGGAAAAGGTTTATTTTGATTTTTATGTGAAGTCATGAGAGAAGCCAAGGTTCTTTTAATGGATACAAAATATGTATTATGGGGATTCTGTTTCATGTTAATTCAAGAAGAAATGTTTTCTTCATAGTAAATCATATATGTGGAAGCTTTACTGCCAATATGTTTGTATGTTATATAATATTACATAGTAGTAGATGTAAAAACTACTTTGGAGTATCTTGATTTTTAATTCAGTGATATTAACTGTGACAAAAGCAAGATTTGTACAGTAAATTTTATGAAAGAAAAAAGGAAAATGACAAAGATAAAAAATATTAATAGTTTGAACTGTAAAATTATTTTCTTATATTCACACAAAAGGAAAGTATTCAGTAATTCAGTGGAAAATTCACTCAAATTAAGTATTATTATACAGAGAAACACTATAGAACATATGTAGTGACAAAAAGTTTCAAATTAGGAGGTTAAAAACTTTCATTGTTTAGAATACTATATACAAATATTTAGAATACCAAGTTTTCCTTTGTGGAGATTTCAAGCAAATGGCTTAGTAGATCACACTGTATTCAAAAACCTACTTTTCATAAAATTTGTATCTCTAGGAATAAGGATGGAATTACTTAAAGACATTTTTGTTTTTAAATAATTGTTACAATTATGTATTTTAAATTATTGCCAAACACTGAAAAATTCAAGCCAGCACCTTCATTTTTGTTATATTTTTAATAGCTGCTTACTTGTTTGTGATTACATTTAATGTTTTGATATATAACTGAACAAAGTTCAGTAACTTTTATATTTTGGTTTAGAATGAGACTTTAAATATCAATGTAATTAAAAGTATTTACATTTTGATAAAAATGAATTCAATGAAAACAAATTCATGAAACCTTTTTTAATAAGCACAGTTTCCCATCAAAATTACATGGGTTCAAACTTTCCAAATATAAAGAGAGTAGGTTTATAATTGATATGTCACTCAATTCTATGAAGATTGTTTTCATATTTCTGAATTAATGAATTCAAAATATAAGCCATTCACAACATGTGAATGATTTTAAATAAAAATTTTACTTAAAATTTATCAATTCCCCCATGGAATTATTTCAACTGCAATGGGGTATCAGCTCATTTCATGCAGTGTAATTAGGTAGAAACATGTGATAGTGTTCTTGGTTAAGCTGAACCAGACTCTAATTCTTTTCTCTTGCTATTTTTTTAAATTATTTTTTTACCATCAATGTTGTATTTGAAAATATTTTTGAGTGCTTTTAAGATATTTTAATTATCAGTAGCACTGGATGAAAACTCAGTGTATCAAATTATTTACAGAGAAAAATAAACATTAAGCTGATATAAGATAGAAAAATAAGCCAGTTCTGAAATCGTGTGTACTATTTTCTGACCTTTAACCACTCTCAAACTAAAAGCAGGAACTGTCATTTAAAATGGAATCTTTTCAATGTTTTTGTACTTTGGTTTAGTTTTTAAAAATTAACTTTAAAAAAGTACTTAGTATTAAAAAAACAAATTCTCTAAGTAATTGAGACAAGAAAAATATGTCATCATGAAAATTCTACAACTGGAAGAATTTACTATTATGTACTTTACCTACTTTGAGGACTACCCACCCCAAAATTATACATATGTGTCTTCATTTGCTGTCTATGAACTAAAACCATGAAAGAATATTCTCATAATGAAGATAAGAGCAAAACAGACTGTTTCTTATCACTGAGAACTAGTTGGGGGATTTGACATAATGATAAACTAAACTGTCTCAATGTCTATGAAATACTTGAATACATTTTTCTATATTTTATATATTTTATTTCAAAGTTTTCTAACACTGCTTACATTAAATTAATTCTGAAAAAAGAAAACAAATATATTAAGATAAGCATACATAGTCCCAAAAGAAATTCATAGACATCACTTGCTTTCATACTTAAGGATATTACAAATGTGTCATTTTTTTAAAGCCTAAAACTATGAATGTAAGTTTACTAGCAATGAGAAAACTTGTCAACAAGGGCATCAGTACTTTCAGAAATATATCAAAACTATTAAACTTCCCTTAGGCATAATTTTAATTTCCTATTATTCTTATTATTGCCCTCCTGCATAAGAAAATACTCTCTCATAGCCTCACTTACACAGTAACAGTGACAAGATAAACACAGCTGAATGCAAAATGTTCAAAGTTAATGTCCCCTCTAATGACTCCTTACACTGTAAAACTATATTGTAATTAGCATCCTGAAATAGTACTTGCTCCGACAAGCCCTGTTTCAGACCAGCATATTTTAAATTAAAAAAAAAAAAACTACTAATGGTGAGAAATTTTTAAAGTGTACATATACACTAAATACCACACATTTTGTTGGATTTCCAGTATTGATATTCTAAAAACGTTCTGAAATAGCCATATTAGAAAGTGCATACAGTTTTTTTTAAAAAGTTACTTATCTCATGGGCTGGAAATTTGGCTCAGTTTGTTAAACACTTGCCTGGCATGCATGAGGCCCTGGGTTAGATTCCTAGTGTGTGTATGTCTCTCTCTTTCTCTCTCTCTCTCTTATACACACACACATATACACACACACACACAAACACAAACACCTCAACCAATGAAATATTTGGTAACACAGCCTATGAATTTTAAAGAAATCTTGTCAACATACATGTGTTCAACCTTCTCTTTCCTTCCCATTAGAATTAGACTTACACTATGATAGAAACCTAGCACTTTCTTTACTACTTATATTAGGAAACCAGAATCACCCTAGAAGCAAGAAAGCAAGGGTCTTTAAAACTTTCCCCAGCCTTTCCAGAAATTTTTTCATGACACTTATCTGAAAAGTCCATCCAATTCTCAGTGTTATATGAAAATGAACATTATGGTTGTTCATAGTATTACATAATAAATTTTACTCTATGAATATATTCTAATAATCTTTATCTTAATTTTGAATTATAAATGTTTATAAATTCTAAATATGTATAACTAAGACATAAATATATGTTTAACAGAAGAGAACAAGTTGTTAACTCTTCTACATTCTGTGCAACTTACAATTATATAACATTTGGAGAAAATTAGTATCCTTCATACTACATATCCTTTTCCTGAATATCATTCATCTCATTTTTTAAATATAGTCTTCTATTCCTAATATGATACACCTCAACTTTCTGATTACTTGGGGGAATTGAATAGTATAATGTCAGCTAAATTTTTCCTTTTACCTACAAAGTACACATTCCATGAAATTGGCTCCAGTTAATATGGGACTTGCCAAAATTAAAATAGCTTCTTCTAGTATTAAAAGTAGAAAACTGGAAATACCATATTCAAAGATATCCCTCTCTAACAATGATTTAGAGCACTCTAAGAAACTCTTGAGAATGAAAACGTGTCTAATAATCCTCAGATAGATCATTAACAATCTTTGAGGTGATATCTTCTACTCCAAAATGAATTTCACACACTTTACAATACACTTAAGAGCATGATCTCTAAATTACCTGTATTTCTCAGCTAGCAGATGTTGAACTAGCAAAGCAAAGCAAATCATGCTAAGTACACATTGAAAAAACAATCAGTATTTGTGATGCTGACAAGGCAAGGACTATAAAATAAAGGCCTTGATGAAACTGTTATGAGATGAGTTACTCTATACACAGACCATTTAATTTTAGCAGTCTATCCAAGGAAAATATAATCCATGAAAATATGACTTATAAACATAATAACTATTTTAGTTCACTAAGGAGATTAGTCAGGAATTATCTTGATGACTCACAGTTCTTCCCATCTTTGCATCAGCAAGCTACTCTTGAATTTCACCCAATTGTTAAGCACAGTTTATAAAAACTATATATATGCTGCTTGTTAATTTAAATATTCAATTTTTGAACTGGCTCATTACATTACCTAAATTTGGCTTCAAGAATGAGTTATATAAATGGGCGCAGTGGCACAGGCCTGTAATCCCAGTGGCTTAGCAGGCTGAGACAGGAGGATCTTGAATTCAAAGCCAGTCTCAGCAAAAGCCAGGCACTAAGAAACTGAGTGAGACCTTGTCTCTAAATAAAATATAAAATAGGGCTGGGAATGTTGTTCAGTGGTCTAGTGCCCTCAAGTTCAATCCCTGATACACCCCCACCCTCCGAAAAAAAAAAAAAGAATGAGTAATTAGTTATTATAGAGGTACTGAAACATTTAGCACAATCACTATAAATTTAATTTGCTTTTTCAGTAGCTGGCTTCATGTGCACTTCAGAGAAGAATTTAGTGTAAAAACTGTACAATTTTTTAAATGTCAAATTTCAAGAAACCCTTAAAATGGGCCCAAAATTGTCTAATCGTCTCATACAAAATTAGAATAGTTTCTGGTGCAGGGTTGTTTTTTTTCCCCCAATAATTTTGACAAGACCACTTTATTTAGCTGAACCTGATAATGAATAGTAGAAAGGCATGACCATGAAAATTCCAAGTCTCTAAGAGAGTAACAATTTGACCATAATAATCTAGTCTTGTTCTGCACAATTCCTTCATAATTTTTTACAGCATCCTCTATTTGGGGCCACAAGGCCATTCACAGCATAGCAGGAATAATCCTGACCATCTCTATGATCATTTAAAGTATGGAACCTTTTACTGTGCACATAGTCATTCTGTCTCTGTCATGAAAATTTTACATTTACCATTTGAAACTTAAAGGAAAATGTACACAATGTTTTATTGGCTTTTTATTTTATACCTTGAAATTCATCAACTCATCATTCTGATATCTAAAAGGATTCCAAAAATTATTACAGGTTGTAGCTACAAATCAGTTTAGTGCTTTTCAATATAATAAGGTAGAAATCATAGTAAATATGGTGTACATGAAAACAAGATTCTTTTCTTAATGGAATGCATTTTTATACCTTTATAAGACATGTTTTCCTCTGATGATTTTTTTATTCATGTACTACAAATAGTAACATTGCAATGTTGTTTTATTCTATTATAAACTTTTCATTAATAAGCATGCACACTACCAACTGTCTCAATTTAATTAATTTTAAGATTAAACTTACAGCCTCACTCCTATTTAAAAAACATTAAAAATTGAACTACCACAGAGACACAGCTGTTGTTGCTAAATATTTCAAAAGAAAAGTGACATATACTCTTCTATAACAAAGATATTTAGACCTCAAGTGTAAAATCCTTAACAATTTAAATATAAGGTAAGAAAAATCTAAAGAAACTTCTCCCAGAAATTGAGCCAGGAGGTACAAAAATCCCAAGCTAGTAGCTACATTACCTGTTTTTCATCTACATTTTTGTAGATGCTGCATTCATATCTCTTGTGTCCCTCTATTATACATACTTAAAAGTTCACTTTTTTTGTTAACAAGATGAATTCTTTCAAATTAGAAACATATAGGGAGTCAACTTTTCTAGACAAAGGTCCATAATTCTATGATGTTTTGCAATATATGTGATTCTCTGAGGGAATCATTTGAATTGATCATGTCTTAATTTTCAAACCATAATATTTTGCCTCAAAATCACATCTGGATCAAATCTTCTCTTTCTTATCAATGGAATTCTAAAATACTATTTAGGGTCCAGTTGTGTGGCTCAGTGGTAGTATACTTACCTAGCATTTTTGAGACCCTGGGTTCAAGTGCTAGTACCACAAATACTAACAATTACAATAAAAATGATAATAATAAAAAACTATTCAAACTGTATTTGAATAACAGCTATTTGTCAACACTTCTTCCAAAATACAACTGTTGGTGTTAAAATTGCATTTTAACATTTTAGCATTAAGTAGTTTTCTCAGTAATTTTTTATTGATCACACATAAGCAAAATAAGAGAAGAATTTTAAAGATTATAGAGTATTACTTAAAAAACAAAGTGTGGTTCTCAATTCTTCTGATATACACCAGAACTCGGAGCCACTTTATAAACATACACGTATATATTTGATTCCAACATATATCAGATACACACACAATTCCAACATAGATTGTAATTCAATCATCAATTAAATAACTATTCATTGAGCACCTTGTGTGTGTTGAGCACTGTGCACTATGCTGAATTCAGTATCTTTGAGGTGAGACATGAAATCTTGCATTACTGACAAAGTTTAACAAATGAGAGAACTGATGTGAACACATACAAGCCTATTCTTTTAATAAGGCTTGATTTAATGCTGTTAAAAATTCATAATTTTTTTCTTTCTTCAAGCAACCCATTTCAGTTGTCTCCATTTACATTCTTGGAATCAGAAATAAACCTTTGAGCTTTCCCCCCAATGTCAGATCCTTCATCATTACATTATCTACATTTTCCTAACACCCATACAGCAACAGTAGCTCATTACTCTGAGGGCAGCCTGGTCCTTTTCTGTATGACAGAAAAGTTCATCCTCATCAATAAATTGGTTTACTGTCTAAGAAACAAATAAGTCTATTCTATTCTCATCAGACAATCCATAATATATTTTCTAATGTCTCCTGCCTATGTTTAAGCTCAATATTATTTTAAATCAGGTATCACTAGCTTTATTCTTATTTAAGTAATTCATTACAACACTTCAAGTATTAAACACTGATGAGGTATTTTCAGGTTTATAAAACATTGAAACATAAAATTAATCATCTACATAAATATAAATTGGTTTTAAAAAGTCTATATAAATTATTTGCAGTAATTTTAAATATTTTCCTGCAATCTAGCAATAATTTTTAAAATAAATATTGAAAAATGTAATTCAGATATGAAGATACAATATAAAACCCTACAAAGTAGAATAAAATTTTAAAAACTATCATCTCCACACAATACATATTTTTACAACAAAACTATAGTAAAAAATAATGAATTGTTATTTTAATAGTGGATTTTTCTATGGGGTGGTTTTAGTAAAGATGCCTTCAGGGAACTCCACTTATTTTCTAGCCTGGCTTGTATGTGAGAGGTAAGGAGTTGCAACTTAAAGCCAAGCAAGGATATTCAAACATAAAGCTGCACTTGAATATGCTTAAATAATTTTGCACTCTTTCACTTTTATCTCTATGAATTATGCAAAAGCTTTTCCTTAAGTTTCCATTTTAATGTATGATAGATGATAGCACTGGGGGAAAAGTAGAATGAAGTACCTTGATGTTCTCTGGATACAATGTGCTGTGAAAAACAAAACAAAAAGAAAATGCACCACATATTTTCCAGGGAGTATCTCAACATGATACACAGTGACTTCATTACTGGTGAGACAATATGTTTAAAAGATTACCCCTGAAAAAATACTGCTATTTTATGATGTTAGCTATTTTTCTGTAGATCTAAAACTTGTCTTCCTGAGTCTGATATCTGTTTTCCTGTCCAGACTGGTGTCATATTTTTTCAGAAAATTATACTAAAAATATATTTTAAAATTTATGCACGATTTTATCAACTTAATTTTCATTATATTATCTTTAGTTCAATTCTGCAACTAACCAGCTCTATAATGAGTCATTAACCCATGAACATTATATGATATTTATCATGTAACTGCAGATAATTTGATCAAAATCAATAAAAGTTAACACTTTCCAAGACTATGAATATCTTTTGTGCAATTTTTTAAAAAACAAATTTCATCAGAGTATTATGTTGTTGTTCTAACAAAAATCATACTATATTTCTGTTTGGATGAGAATTATTTAATCTAGGATCACAAAAGTCAGCGACATCATTCAGAGAATCCTTAATAGATGGTATCCCATTATAGGAAAACTACCACAAGGAAGATGGTGAATGGAACTTTTCAACTAATAATAGAATGAAAGAAGATGTGTTACCAACTAAAAAAATTACTTGATATTATTGTATTACTACTTTTATTTTTGTTTGAAAGCCTTTTCCTTACAATTTGTTTATTGAATAAATCATTTATTTAACCTACCCACAGAGATTCTTTTAAAGTGAATTGCTAATCTTTCTTCATTTTAAATCTGAGATTTTATTTTGGTCTTTGCCTCCATACAGTTAGGTTGGTATAGTTTAGGGAAGGACAATAATAAAGAAATAAGAGAAAATTCAATGTATGAAAAATTTTAAAAAATTTTACAGCATATGATAACTGGTCTTTCATTTTTGGAGTACTTAATAGTAGCCTTTTACACAATTTTATGTTTAATGGCACAGGATTAAAAAAAAACACACATGACAAATTCCTTCCTAAATTGGCATTATGATTTTCTTTGATGAACTAGCCTTCACTAACTGAATGGTCAAATCATAACATAAGCAGAAACTCAACTGAAATACTGCCATAAAACCAGGCAAAGTCATCTGTAAGTGCGAGTGCTAGAAGTATCTTTAGGCAATCAATGTTTAAACAAAGCATATTTGAATAAATGTAATGTGACTGGCTACACTAACAACTGGGAAAAAATCACATCAAACAATTTTTAAAAATCAATTTGTTCTACTATGGTTTAAAAATATTCATTATTCTCATTATATTCAACATTTCAATAGCACTAAATTGGTGATATTGTTCTACATACTTTATATCAATTTACTGTTGCTGACAGTTGCTATCTTCCTTGATGAACTTATTTTCTAAGTGTATTCCTTCTTTCTAATTTTGCATAATTTACACAGTTCATTACCCATTCAAGAGAAGCTTAAAACAGAATGATGACATACTTACTGAACTATGGTATGCTATAAATATTTAGATATTTAGCTATTAATGTTGCCTTGTGTTTGACCCCATATGTTGTCTTACCAAATTATCTCAGTGAATGCTCTAACAGTATCTGAAAATTCACAAAAGACAAATTATTAACTGGAAGCTAGGTTGTAAAAGGAGGATAGCACTGTCAAAGAAAATCAGTTAAAGCAGTGAAGACAAATTTTATCCAGGAAAAATCACGATAAGAAGAAAGAAACTTCTCTATAAAACTGTGCTCCATTCTGAATACACAGATAAGTGGGAAGTAATGGACAAGTGAGGATCAGTGGATGAAAAATTCTAAGAGGAATCCAGTGTAAGGGGGATTCTAGTCAAATTGATTCAGCAAGATTCTTGTTCTTGATAAGATATAAAGTGTGGAAGATTTCATCAAACTGACCCAGCAGAATTCTTGCTAAAACTAAACTAAATGGGCCAAAGGCAAACTCAACTTCAAGCCTGATTAGAAAGGAGCTCAAAGGAATGTAACCAAAGTTTGGTCAACAAAAAAATCCTGTCATCATCCATAGTCTACTACATAACATGAGAAATAAGTTGTCTAAAAACTTGTTATCCAAACAATAGCAGTTTAAAAATCAAATGGCATTTACTTACCATCGTGTGGCCTAAGTAATCTTGGTCTTTCAAAGGGGATCTTGTTTGAAGTCATCCATAAAAAAATCATGTTTTGATGCCAAACTTCTATTCCTCCTGGAATCAACTTTTAAAAAAAGATACTCTTCTAAATTAACTGATCCAAAAATAATTATCTTTATAGGTTCTTATTGAAATATTTATTCTCTTCCCCCCAAAAATCACTTCCTACCTAGTGATCTTGCTTGAAATTATTATTCTCTGGAAGATCATGTTTACAGTTATAACACTATACTTCCTTTATCATTGATAAAATAAAGTTGAAATAAAATAGAAATAGAAACAAACTGAATTTATTCAAATTCTACAATTATTTGACACATAATTGAAAAATTCAAAAACACACATTTATTTAACTGCCAGAAAGTTTCTGAAAAAAAGATTGACAGTGGATTATTAAATCCCTTGAAGAAATATATCTTTAATCTATCACATTATATATAATAAATACCAGAACTGAAGCTAGAAGGATATCTATCATCTCTGGGTGATTCTTCTGTTGTCCTTTTCATCATCATCGAAAAAATTTAAGTCTCTACCATTATAGACCACGAAACCTCAAAAAGTCCCAAACAGGAAAGCTTCCTCTACTTTCAGGAGCAAAGCAAGGAAGGAAACAAAATCAGCAAGAACCAAATGTCACAGACTAGATGCTTATTTTTACTTAATGTAAGTGCTTCTCCTGTGTAATCAATAATCTCTAAACAAGACTAAAGTCTTTCTAAAATGATGGAATTAAATTGATACTTCACATATAGTAAATTAAAATATCTTTCCAATTCAAGTGATTGTGATTTTTTCCTTCCTGGATAAAAAAGAGAAATGGTAAAAAAATAAATGGAAATAGTACAGTCTTTATAATTTAACTGAAATCAAATCAGTATCCATTTACTATAAATGGGTTATGTTTGAAATCATTTTTGAAATCATTTTTCTATATTGTCTGTGAAATTAAGTAATAAAACCACTGGGATAAATAAAAATACATTATTTAAAATCATAAAGAAAAATGCATAAGGAAAACATTTATGTGAATTATTTATCAAATGGGTAATATAATTTTAAAATAAAATTTTAAAAGTTGTACTATAATAATTTCATATTGTTGGCTTATTTTTACTAACTGCTTCCCTTTTCATTATTTATATTTAACATGTTTACCCTTTAATATGTTTTACGTTTTCTTAAACAATTATATATGGTGGGCTTACATACCATTGTTAGCCTGCTTAAATCCTTAAGTGATCAAAATAATGGAGTCTTATGACTCAAATATAAATATTAAACATAAGAGGCAATATGCAGTTGTCTACTTAATGTCATTATTCTGTCCTCTAAGTTATTTCCTATAAGAGGTAGTATAAATATAATGTCATTATTCTATCCTCTAAGTTATTTCCTATAAGAGGTAGACCCTTTGGTATCTTCACTAAGCATTGAAACTGCTAAGTCAGTACATAGTAAAAGGTTCTCACTAAATATTACAGATAGCAACCTGGTATGTGCTGAATACCCTTAGATTCAAACAAGTCCCTAAATTTTCTAAAGAACAATTACTCTGATACAGAATTGGAATTTCTAATTACCTGTAAATTAAAAATTTATTGCATTCATGAGGCATCTAACATTTTTATATTTTAAAAGACTGCATGTTCCTTTATCGCATAAATGTAGATAGAACATAACCCTCTCTGTACCTAAACCACAAGATGGCTCCCTCTCATTGGTTTGGGGATTGTAAAGAGCATTACAAAAACAGTTGTGGCTAATTTTACTAATGATCGAAAGCAATCTTTTGCCACAATCTTTTGGTAAATTACATCAAATTCAATATGTTAAAACAAAGTAAGAGGATAGATCATATCCAAAATATATCTGTAACCAATTTAGTATGAAAATAATTCAATGTCTCCCACTGTTATAAGGAGGGGAAATTAGATAAATTGAATGGTATATATAGGTCTTAAGTATCTACAGATTTTTAAGCATACATTCCACATTATAAAACAACCTAAAATGGGGGGAAAGTATATCTGAACCAACAGAGATATAGTACAGAAAAGGCAAAAATAACATGGAAAACTTTCTCGCTCTCAGCACTCAATGATATTACATAACAATATAAGTATTCTTTCAAAAGAATTACTCTAGCACCTGGAGGCTAGTTGTGTTATGTCAGTTCACCCTGTGACTCAGATTTCACCTCATATAAGAAATGCTAATACGTATATCCATCCCTCTGAAAATCACTGTGATTCACACTGTTACCGTACATGATACTATGTGTTTGTACAAATGACTGATGGTTCTGGGAACATTTCCAAATACTTATTAGCTTCTGATAAAGCCAGGAATCAAGGAAACTAGTAGCTCATCACTCTTTTTTGTTTGTTTGTTTGTTTGTTTTATTGATTTAAAAAAATAAATGACAGCAGAATGCATTACAATTCTTATTACATGTATACAGCACAATTTTTCATACCTCTGGTTGTATATAAAGTATGCTGACACCATTTCATATCTTCATACATGTACTTTAGATGATAATGTCTATCACATTCCACCATCCTTGCTACTCTTCATCCCATATTATACATAGTCCCTTTCTGGAGATAATTGCAATGATGCTAATTAAAGGCTTGAATGCATATCCTCAATAAAAATAAAATTAATTTGATACAAGATGCATAGTAGATTATAAAACTATATCCATATAAATATAATGACTGAGGACACAGGGAATTCTACCACAACTGTTTTAAAAGGCAGCAGAGAAAAACTTAAAAACATGAGCACTGGATCTATAGTATGTAAATTATAACGTTGGTTACACCTTTAATAGCAACAGGCAAACAGGCAAACAGGCAATATTGTCAGGCAAACTTTTTATCTCCTTTTGCCTTCATTTCCTCAATAGTTGCAAAATTTTTAATGAATTATTATTTGTTTTTTAAAAATGTAATGCCTATTAAAATGAATAAAAAGCATTTTTATTAGTCTCAGACAGAAAGTATTACTTTATTAAAGGCACATTTGGTTAGTTCTGGTGATAAATGTTTGCTATAAAAATAGAGATAAAATTATGAAAAGAATCTCATACAATGGAACAGAAACTTCAAGAAGGTGATAATTCTACTGCTTATTATTATCCTCCACTTAGAATATGCATTTGGCCATTAGGCACTTGATAAATATTTGTGAAATGAATAGGAAATGAAGCATTGA